TGCGTTCGCCAGACGCCACGTGGTAAGGACGGAGATGAATTGAAAAGGCAAGCCCGTAAAGAATTCATTCTTTATCGCACAAACAGGCAGCAAGCAAAAGAAGAAAATAAACAAATTCACGTGCGTAATAGCGGTCAGTATACGGTCGTCCGTCGTCGGCGATATGATCCATCGGCTTTTTGCGCACGAGTCTCGCTAAGTTTTAGCATAATCACTGGCGCACGTTCAAGAATGAACTGCCCGTTAGTTACACGTGGTTGAAGAGGCAGAAACGTCAGAACATGTTTCGATTGCTTTAGAAGCGCGGTTTGTGCCGCGATATGACACGTGTAGCAGACTTAGTCGCGGTGCAATGCGGTCGTGTGTAGAAAAAAGAATAGGTGCGCGTCAGAAGATTAACTTGCAGTAAAAATAAAGGTTGGACGCGTTGGCCTTGGTGCACGATAACAGCGCAAAAGAAAAGGAGGACACGGGACAAGGCACGCACAAGTATATCTTTGTGTAGTTTGAATGGTGTCGAAACTCGTGTCTATAACGCAATAATAATAATAATAATAATAATAATACGCGGTGTTTTACGTCACAAAACCACGATATGGTTATGAGAGACGTTCCTTAACGTGAGCGAGCATCGCACAAAACACGGGCCTCCAGCATTTCGAATGCACCGACATGCGACCGGCGCTGCCGGGATCGAACCGGCGACCTTCAGGTCTTACCTTACTCAAGGCTCGAGATGGTCGATGAAGCCGGCGTTCGGGTAAATACTCAAGACAACAAGCACGTCACAGTTTGCACGATATCCACCACGCTAATCCTTGTACTTTGTTAGACAAAACACAAAGGCATTGTCTCGAAGAGATTAACTACCTTAACTCATTCAGTACACAGCTTATAAACACTCGCAACAGCCCTGCTGCGGTGGTCTAGTGGCTAAAGTACTCGGCTGCTGACCCGCAGGTCGTGGGCTCGAATCCCGGCTGCGGCGGCTGCATTTCCGATGGAGGCGGAAATGTTGTAGGCCCGTGTGCTCGTTAAGCCCCACGCGAGCTATTCGTTTGTGGAATGATTTGCCAGATGATCTTGCGTCAGAACAAGACCACACAAAGTTCTATAATACTCTTAAAAATTACTTATGCGCCGAAAACTGCTCTATCGCATCTTCGTAACCATCAGTGTTTATAGGACTGTTGCCGATGTTTTTGCACTATTGCTAGGTTGTAGTTACTGTCATAATAGTTGTTTTTTGTATTTCACCTTCACATACTGTAACTCACTTTTCTAGTATGTAATTTGCTTACATGTTCATAAGTTGAACTGCATTTTCTATTATATTCATTATTTGCCGACGTATGTGTAGATATTACGTATATATATTTTGCTAACATATTATCTGTACCGCCCTCTTACACGATGCCCCTCGAGGGCTCTGTAAGGTACTGTAAATAAATAAATATCATTATCAAACGTTCGCAACAACCAGCTTCGGTGGTCTGAAGATTATAGGTGGCACGACCGAGTGCTGACCCATAGGTCGCGGGATCGAATCACGTACGCAGTGCAATTTTGGTGGAAGCGTAATGCTTGAGGCCCGTGTGCTTAGATTTAGGCGCGTACGTTAAATAATTCCCAGTGATTAAAACTTTGGGAGCCCTCCACTACGGCGTTCATTGAGATCATATTATGTGTTTGGGAAGTAAAGTCTCAACAATTACAATATTGTGACACAAGTGCTGAAGATTAGGCGAGTTCTCGAGTGTAACGCCAAGATATGATATCAGCATCGCAGCTTGACAGACCAATGTTTAATATATAGCCGGCTGCCTGACTAAGGTAGCACACATGATATTCAAATAAGGCCAAGGAAGGGGGCGTTGATTTCAGCCCTTGCTTCCAGTCCTTGATTACAGTCCTTGATAAAACGCGCTTCTGCATTTTCTCGCTTGATTTGTGACGGGTGCTTTGTGAACACTTCGACAAAAAAAAAATAGTCTGCACACATCACCATTCGTAACTTGCAGAATGGCAGGTGTATACCAGTTTGCTATTTTCTATGTTCGTGTTTACATTAGGCAAATTGCTCGTTAGCTGAATGCAAGGTTGTCGGAACACAAGCGTACATCAGAAGGCAGCGCGTATTCGTACGTTGCCTGACACTGTGCACAACATGAATGCACGCATAGTTTTACCTTACGTATGTATAAGCATAAGAATGTCACCGAATACACCCCGAGATCTATAGCACCAACATCTTTGAGGTCTTCCAGACAGACACAGCTACGCTAACACATGTGCTCTGGGAATGCGAGGCTAAAGCGAAGCGTTTTATTCCCGACGTTCTTTCGGTGAGGCGGGATGTTGCTCTGCGGTGCTCCAAGCTCACTGACCACCTCTGGGCAATCCAGCTGGCCCATGAAGTGGCTGAGACGCGAAGCCTTGACGGCCCGACATGGGAGACCTGAGCCGGGGCCACTAATTTGCCAGACCATAAAGTTTTTACACCACTGCCATAAAAATCGGAATGTACCAGGAGAATTGTTGAAGCTCATGGCGTCAACAAAAAAGGCAATTAATGTGTAAGCATGCCCTAAATAGCATTGTGTGTTTATATATAGCACTGTGGTTCTTAGATCTAGAAAAATGTTTGTAACTGTACATAGAAGCATAGGTCGGCAAACTTGCTCACGAATCGACTCATACTCGAATTGTGGCGTGAGTCTGAGTGAGTCCGGCTGAATCACACTTATAGGTCAGTCTTAGTCCGAGTGAGTCCGATTGACGGAAATATTCATGTCTCGGCCCGAGTGAGTTTGCTTCGGCAAAATTTTGGTTAATCTGTGTCCTAGCGAGTATGCGGGTATGTGCCTCTGGTATGCGGGTATGTGTCACGGTTAATTTAAACTTGGTATTTACCCAGGAACGGGGGGAATACACGAGGGTAGTTTTGGCAGAAAGCTGCCATGAGTCGCACTGACCCAACGAATGCATACAACAAATAACATGGTATCAGCAGGAATTGAACCCCAGCTTTTTTGCCACTCAAAAGCGTGGCGATCAAGTATTCTAACACACAGTAACGCCGGGTTTCACAACTACTTTTCAAATAGACCATAATGTTTCTGAAAGATAAATTGTGGTTGCAGTGCTGCATATACAAATTTATTAACAATACATGTGTACTCCTATTACGCAGCCGTCACATCGGGCTAACGTCAATTGTAGTTAGGTGACATTTGGTGAAGCTGATTTATAATAATAGTGATACGCGAGGTTTTACCTCCCAAAAGTGCGATATGATTATGAGAAAAGATGCCGTAGGGGCGGCCTTCCGAAAATTCGACCATCTGGTGCTCCTTAACGTGAACTCACATCGCACAGCTCACGGGCTTCTACCATTTCGCCTCCATCAAAATGCGACCACCACGGTCGGCATCAAACCCATGACCAAGGCGGTCGGCAGCCGAGCACCTTAGTCACGGTTACATCAGGGCAGATCGCTGCAGTTGAATGATGTAGCAGTGTCCAGACCTACCATCATTGCGAGCCCCAGCGCTTCATAACAGCTTGTCGCTTCTGGAGTTGCTATTATCCATCTTCCTGTTGGCATCGTTGCGCAAGTCCGAACTGGTTATGTAAGCATCTGCAACTGTTCAACAAGTGTCAGTGTGCGCAACATTTGTATGTATATCCAGCGTCATTTCGTGACGGAAAAAAAATTACAACACAGTCAACTTTTCTCTGCATGCTTCGCATAACGTCGATTCCCAATGTACGTGGGATCTGCCATTTCTTTTTTAAGCGATGTTCACCTAGTTGCTGATTTCCAATTCACGCGTGTCTTTCGTGCTTGTTTTTGTTGACCATCTTTTGTGGCTCATACACACTGTGGTGGATTGGCCAATAACCGAGTGGTTTTAGTTATAAAATGAAAACATTACGCATTTTAGAACGAAACTTTGATGCTCACTGAAATGTACCTACTGCAAAGGTTTTTGTATTAGTAATAGACAATAACCTAGATCAAAATCTAACTTAAAAAATAAGAAATGTTATGCGTATGTGGACACAGAAGGACGACAATATACACTAGTTGGTTAGTCTCTTCGTTTCATTCGGATGATTCCCCACTGCTACACACACTTCGGCACTGGCAAACTTAGAAATTTACAAATGTTTGATCAACTATCCCAACAAACTGCACTTCTGGAGCGCGAGCCCACCCCTGGTGCCACGCCTAGATACGCGTGCAGTGCTAGAAAATTCCGAAAATCCGCTTTAACCAGCCGGCGTTATTTACCATCCAATGAAATGTGGAGTTGCGCTAACTTCTGCAAGCCTTGCGGGAGGTATCCGTACACGGGTTGGTGCCCTATACGAGACAAAGGAGACAGGATGTAAAAAGAAAAGAAAAAAAGAAGAGCAATGAAAGTGTCCCTTCTGTAAAAAGTACATATCAACACTAGATTTAGTTGTTGCCGCCTTATCATTCTTTTTCGTTGTGTTTAAAATGTGTTTTTATGACACTGGAAATAATATGAAAAATACGTGCAAGGCGACATATAATAGCCTCTAACACTTCTCTGTACCGGCGTCACGCAGAAGGCACATTATTTTCAGATATATGTTTACTGTTGTCAGGGATCACCTGACATTAGAGATCATATTGGGTGTCAGTGTAGATAACCACTGTAAGCACAGAAGAAAAAAAATCGTTGTTTATAGCACATTCATACTTAATGTCTGCCAATACAGTCAGTTTAAGGAACCGCATCGCTGTAAGGAAAGAATTGAAGACGCCAACGTTGTTAATTAGTCTTAAAATAGCTTCTTTATTTGTCAGTCAATACGTAAAAAAAAACACTAACACTCTTTACGGAAACGACAGCCGTGTTTTCCGTAGTTATTTGGTTTTAGTCGACAGTAAGTGCGACCAAGTCATAAAGGCGCGAGTATAGTGTTTAAAGCGGATGACCATACAATATATGAAAGCTATCGTGCTTAGGTCGCCTTGATGAGGCACGAAGTCACTGAAATCTGGACGTAAAGGCGAAGTGTCGAGTGGTCTCTTTCATGTGCTATTTAGGAGCTTGTCAGGTCTTTCTGTATCACTGGTGGCATGCAGCCTCGTAGAAATCACAAGTGAAGCGTACCTATAGCGTCGTGTCTGTCTCCCTAGCAACCGTGAAGCTTTGACGAACGTTCTTTAGCGTGTCAGGGGGCCTCACCTGGAGAGACCAAGAAAGAAACACTGACGACAACGGACAATACATTATTAACCAGACGGCGAATGCACTAACGCGAACAAGACGGTGGTCAGTTTGAAAGCGCGGACAGACGAGCGAGACAGCACTAACCTCCAACAAACATCCAAATCGGGTCGCGGGATCGAATCCCGGATGCGGCGGCTGCATTTTCAATGGAAGCGAAAATGCTGTAGGGCCGAGTGCTCAGATTTGGGTGCACGTTAAAGAACACCAGGTGGTCGAAATTTTCGGAGCCCTGCCCACATATTAATAAAACATCCAAACTGCTGCAGAACATATATATACTCCCGTGAATTGAGAATAGAAACACGAATGTCATGCTCCCGTGACTAAGCATCTTTTTCATTGAAGGCTTCCTGGTAGCAGTCGTAATCACCTCCGGGTGGCATCACACGGATCAAAGAGAGCATCATGCCTTTGCTCTAGGCGCACTGTCCCCAAAGGTTTCCTTCATCGTTGAAATGAGGTATAAAGCTATCGAAAATAAGCCCGAAGTAACGCACGCTCGTTAACAGCCAACGTGCTAGATGACATGCTGGTGCGCAATTTGTCCAGCGTGTTCGCCATCTCGAGTCACTGCAAGTTAACTTTATTCGTGCATGACACGTCAGCTAGATTAAACGTTCACCGACGTCCACACGTGCTTCAATAGCGGCCCGGAACCATCCTCCGATGCCCCCGTGGCTGCTGCGCTCCCTCAAGCAACGCTTTAACCATACCAATCCCATTAACGTGCTGCCCGATGTGTAATTTTGTCGAAGTTTGATTGATATGTGGGGCTTAACGTCTCATCGATTGATTTGATTGATTTGTGGGGTTTAACGTCCCAAAACACCATATGATTATGAGAGACGCCGTAGTGGAGGGCTCCGGAAATTTCGTCCACCTGGGGTTCTTTAACATGCACCCTAATGTGAGCACACGGGCCTACAACATTTCCGCCTCCATCGGAAATGCAGCCGCCGCAGCCGGGATTCGATCCCGCGACCTGCGGGTCAGCAGCCGAGTACCTTAGCCACTAGACCACCGCGGCGGGGCGGCTTAACGTCCCAAAACAATTATATGATTATGAGAGAGACCGTATAGTGGAGGGCTTCGGAAAATTCTGTTGCAGTTTGAGCGAGAGCTTCATACAGCAGGTTCAGTGCAATCAATAAAGTTGAATTTAACCTCATTGCGAGCAGCTATAGAGCGCTCTTACTGGCGAAAAATCCTTTGCTCGATGCATACTTTTGTAAAATGACTGATTGAAAGTGCGCAGAGCGGGGAAAGCGCTTCTGCTACTTTTTGCAAAAGCTGCTTAATAAACACAGGGAACTGGAGCTTGCACGAACGTTGCAAGTGGCCGATTTTCGCGAGCACGAGATCAAAGCTTCTACAATACGCGTAAACGTAAGCCTTTTGGCTTCTAAATACTTTGAGCTTTTGCCATACAGTGAAATATTGTTGTACGCAAGTCTTTTAGCCCGTAAAAATTACCCAACAATCGCGAAAACCTTCTTCTGGAGTAATAAAATGAAATTCGGCACTGATATACCTAAATTGGGAGGATGAAAATGAAAAGTATTACATACTCAAGACCGCGGCTTCCTTCAGAGCTATCCTTTAAATATTGATGAAACTAAAATCGGGGGTTCTACCTGCGAAACTTTTCCGATGGAGGCGGCAACGTCGTAGGCACGTTTGCTCAGATTTGGGTGCACATTAAAAAAACCCCAGGTGGTCGAAATTTCCGGAGCCCTCCACTACGGCGTCTCTCATAATCATATGGTGTATTCGGGACGTCAAACCTCACATATCAATCAATCAATCTACCTGCGAAACTACGATGTGGTTATGACGTATGCACCTCAGTGGCGGAACTGCGGTTTAGTTTCGACAGCAGGATTTTTTTAAAGGTATCTAACTCTAAATATGTATTGATTTAACGACAGCAAATTTATAATTAGTGCTGACAAGAGCAGCTCATTTTGCCTATCCACCACTGCGCAAGTTTTATTGTACAGTACAAACACAAACAATGAAAGAAGGACGAAATAAATCTAATTATCAACTACAAAAACAAAGGCGGTGCTGGTGTAAACCACAAATAGACAGTAAAAAGCGACACTGTTTGACATTTCAACTTTTGTTAAACGTTCAAGTTTCCCGACACTATATGACGTAAAGCGCAAGGTGTCAAGCTCTAGGGCACGTGTTCGATTCCCAACCACGGCAGCTCTATTTCAATGCTGGCAAAGTGAAAGAACAACCACATACTCCAACTTGTATTTCACATGCGTCTTACAGTGACCACCCGTGGCCGAGATTGAAACCGCAGCTTTCGAGTCAGCAGCCCGTACCGCAACCGCTGTACCTTCGAGCCGGACATCCTCTCGATGATGGGCACAAGTTTAGGAGGTATGTAATTGTCGTGCCCTCGTTGTGGCACCATATATACTGCGAGAGCCACGGTGATATGGTGGCAAAATAGAACCACAAAACGCCAAGGCGTATAGGTTACAGTGAGATATTCTGATTAACCGATCCCACTGAGAAATTAGCGATACGTTTTGAACATTGCCAATCATCATGCGTACAAACACTTCTGTTGCCGGCGCACTCAACGGGGCCTAACGACTGATGCGGTGTGTCCTTGCGATAGAACAACGATGCAAACAGAAGGCATGTCGCAGTGAAGGAACCAAGTTGGATATCTGAGCCACGGCCGCCGGACCTGTGCGCTTTGATCCAGTGGCCGTGTCCGAGCATTCTAAGGTCCATTAAAGCGCATCAAAAGACAAGCACATTAGTGTTATTGAGCTTGGCGCCGTGGAGATGCGCGTCTATGAATCTAACTGACGACATCGTTACGCCACAACAAAGCCAGGTCACACGTGGAGAAGGTGTATTTACGATCCCCAGTCCTCTCCTCGCACCGTCTACTCGTTGGAGCTCTGTTCGGGCAACCGCTTGCACCCTCTGACCTCCAACATGAAGAAAAAGTGGGCTGACGTTTATGTTGTTGCCATCCCGGCATCACGAGTTGCCACCCGTGGCGCCCTGGATATAATGAGTTATATAATAATCGTGGGAATAATATAATTCACGTGGATACAATTGGGCTTTCTGCCGACGTTGAAGGATCCAAAAACGAGGCTGCAGCCTATACATGCTGACGACGATAATTAGCAGAAAACTTGGCTTGCCTTACCTTGGCTGTACGTGGCAGACCTGCAGTTGACAGCTCGACCTTTGCAGGTGGCGATGCCGAAAACGCTGTGCCAATGGGCTTGTCCTGTTATCATAGCGATACATAAAACTGCCGCCGATGTTTTGCTGAGCCGCCGAGAAAGCGGTGTCTAGGTCAGCGTGTTGTTCCAAAAGCAATTCTACGCCCTCGCCCCACAGAGCGATGTGCAAGGCTGCCGTGAGGGTCTGCAGTTCCTTGTACGTCGTGGCGTGCGCAGCTGCGTATCGCTGACCGTGCCAGAGCACCAAGAACATCGCTCTGTATTGCTGATAAGTGGGATTGGCGTAGTTGTTTATGAGGGAGACGCAGTACGTCGCGCTGTCATGCCACACAGAGATGCTCGTGTTGAAAGTAAGAGTTTGCAGCGCGTCCGACAGGTCCCCTATAACGGTATCGTAGTCGACGTGCTGTGCGGAGGCGCCGAAGCGAAACAGCCGCCATTGGCGGATATGTCGCCTAAACACGAGCCAACAGTGGAGCCACGAGAGACGGCTGAGGAGGACAGTGACGCTGGGAGATGCTTCCAGAGCACGACCTATTTCCTGGACGGCTTTTGTCGGCGGCAACGGTCCGAGCTGCGGTAGCCAGGGTAGGTTGCGTTGGTCCAGGCATTCGAGATCTTGCGCCGACGCTCCCTGGACACGGATGAATAGCTCTTCTACGACACTGACTGCCATCTGGGTAGAAGGCATCGGTGGGCCAGGAACGACCGTTTTCCAATAGTGGATTTGGTTCGGCTACACGCTTAGAAGTAGCGCGAGGCTCTACAATGGCAAGCCGATTGCGAATGGAAGGCCAACGATGCTTTCTACTGTGTCGGTATCTGTTTCGGTATCTTAAGAGGGCTTGAGATGTGTGCCCTCTTATGACAGAGTTCGCGTCCAGTTAGCAACAAGCTGCAGATTGGCAAGGTTACCGTAGATAACCTAAGGCTTCTATAAAGCTATGAAAACTATTGTCGCAGCCCGATAGTCGAGGTGACCGCGCCGTTCCGATACCTTTGACGCAGTCATTACGTAGATACGCATGCGCTGAGAAAGAGCTACGTCAGAGGATCCTCGAAATTGAGGTTAAGCTCGTTCAACAAAGATATCTCAGATTAAGGTCTCATATTGATAATATGTGGGGTTTTACGTCCAAAAACCAGAATATATATGATTATGAGAGACGTGGTTGTGGAAGGATACAAAAAATTTTTTACCGCATGGTGCCCTTTAACGTGCACTTCACCCAGTGCGCAGGCCTCTACTACTTCGCCTCCGTGGAAAAGTGACTGCCGGGCTAATTAAGACCAAACCCGTGACCTTCTCGTCAGCAACCGAGTATCTTATAGCCACTACACCACCGAGCCGGACGGTGCATTCAACAATTTCAGGCGTAATTCGTAGCGCTGATTCGCGTCCCCCTGAAAGCAACGATGACAAGTGGGAAATAAAATCACAGTTCCACCGCAAGGGCGATGCAATTAATGCAATATACACTAACAGGGATGTCACCCCAAGAGCGCAAACAAATCGAAACTTGAAGCACGCTGCCAGTGCACAAGGGGGGTATGTACGGATGGACCCAACTTTATGGAATGTCCAGCAATATTTAACACAACTCGGACTTAGGCACGACACAAACACCAAAAGGACAAGCGCAAAGTTACAGCCCACGCAGCTCGACAATTAAAGAATTAAAGGCCCCTAAACCACACCGAGTTCAAAGAACAAGGCCGTAGTTTCTTTCTCGCCTTCGCTGTTCTTACTACAAACGCTCCTGCTCGCCACTTATTTTTTAGTGAAACACGCAGCATGTTCGTACCAAGCGCTGAGCCAGTAACGATGCCACGTGCTTCGACTACACGCGGCGATCTCCGCTATCTCATTCTCAAACGATGAAAAAAAAGTGAAATCTGTTTATCGTGCACAGTACTCAAGCGGCACAAGGCAATGCAGGCATGCGACTGCATTACAAAACGTGGAAGGCGGCATTTTGCAACAGAAATCTTTCGTATATCAACCAATCGAGAGCTTGTTCTATCCTGACGTCATGCGAGTAAACCGCTGGCGTCACAAATAGTGCCAGGAGAGGCTAAACGCTGGGCAAGAATAATGCGATCGTTTTTCGTATTTTGAGAAGTTGGTTAGGCGTCCTTTAACGCAGTTTTTCCAAACAAAAGGACGCACGAAACGTACGCACAGGTGTGCACAGGGTGACCACGAACTAACAGCAGTTCTTTCTTCACTGGATTGTGTTTGTACAGCGTGCTTTTTTGTGTTATGGTGCATATACAGCGATATAAAGGATCCTTGCGCGCTCTGTAATGTAAATGCAAGCTATCTAGCGAAAACAAACGATGTACAAACTGCCCTCACCAGAAGATAAGCGCGCGCACGTGAATGGGGGACTACGCCATTATACGCCCGGTAGGGCAAAGCGCGCGTTGACGAGCCAGCGCTTTGCCCCGAGTGGGGCCCATAGAGCGCGCACTTCGTGTCCTCTTGCTGGTTATCCTAAATCAGAGAGCACTGTGACATGCCACCCCGGAATCGGCGTAAGGCCAGCGATAAATTCTGTATGTAAATAACTCACCGTTGGTACGCTGAAATTGGAGCTATATAAGTCGCTCGTTCGACACCGCACGTCAGAAAATAAAGCTGATAGTGCAGCTGAACGCAGCAGTTCACAACACTAGCGAGCTTAATATGTTTACCAATTCGATTGATTGATTTGTGGGGTTTAACGTCCCAAAAACACCACATGATTATGAGAGACGCCGTAGTGGAGGGCTCCGGTAATTTCGACCACCTGGGGTTCTTTAACGTGCACCCAAATCTGACCACACGGGCCTACGACATTTCCGCCTCCATCGGAAATGCATGTTTACCAATTCGACGAATGTACTTGAAATTTTCGCATGATGACACAAATACCACTTTAGACAGAAAGGTATACGACTATACGACTTTCTCAGGCCATTTATGGCATCGCAATGACCTTACAACACTGGACCACAAGCGGGGCGGACGTGACGTCACACCGCATGATCAACTGCAGAGAGCAGTCGCAGCTGCGCTCGCCGAAGTATAATGAACATTCTAAGCACATTACTCAAACCTTCTCCACCATGCAGGCTCCGGAGCGCTGGTAGATGGGGACGAGGTGGGAACAGTAGGTGCTCTAGGGTGGTGGCAGGAAGGCCATGTCTCCGGTAGGCTGCGGTGACCCTCGAGCGTTCCTGGGCCAAGGCAGGGCAGGCACACAGGAGGTGCTCGAGGGTCTCGGGGTCGCCGCAGCGGCTGCAGGCTGGGGAGGCGCAGCATCCCTAGCGGCGGGCCGTGGTCCACACGCATCCGGTCCGCAGCCGCAGCAGGTTGGCTCGTTCTCTCCTGGTGAGGCCTGCCTCAGGAAGACGCCTGGGTCCCCGCCCATTGGCCACCCTCTGGTCTGGGTGGACCTATCTGGGCCCCAGCTCACGAATTCCTTATGGGAAATTCGCAGGCACACACTCTCGCCCGAGATCTCAACTGCCGGGCGGAGTTACTTACGCCTTACACTTCTCATTCTTCGCCCTCCCAGACTTGCGAAAAACTAGCTCCTTTGGTCACTTACACAGACATTCTACAACACTACAGACTATGCCGTCTCTGCTATTCTCCAGCTCACAAAGACCTCCCTCGACGTGATGCCGTCCTGTGGCGCAAGCCTCAGGCAGGTGTCTTTCCCAAGCCTTGGCTTTATAGCACGGTATACCCACACCTTGTGACGCCACACTGTAAATGCTGCTCACAATCGGCCACCCTCATACGCATGGCATGGACGTGCCCACAGTACGCTGACGCTTCTCACACAGAAGATACATGGAACTCCCTTCTGCATATCACTGACTCGGCACAGCAACGCCGTAAATCTCAAGTGCATTGGAGGCCATGGTGTTCCAAGGGATCCCCACTGACCTCCTCTAAGCAGCGTAACTCACCTCTTGGCCGGTCCCCTTTTGGGAGTAATAAAGTTTTGATCATCATCATCATCAATATCATCATCATCAAACCTTCTCTTTTTGAATATTACGTGACTTTATGCAAAGATAAACCACCAATATACGCTTTTCTACTCCAATCTTTGAGTTTGCTCTATCTTCAATCGCCGATGTGACGTCATCGGTCCAATTCATTGACGTCACTAGAAGCAGCCACTGTCGATTGGGCGATACAAAAGCAGTTTGTCTGCTAGGAAGCGAGGAGGATCATCCGCAGAGGTATGAGAAGTGCGGATGATTGGAGCGCAGTCAAAGAAGGATCGAGGATCGACAATGATTACGGGCCACGCTTCGATCATAAAACGAGCGTAACGCCTCCCGCATTCGCTGTATACCACCGTACACCTGCGACGCGACAACTTAATGTTGATTTCAAGGAAGTCGCACAACCAGGTTTTAAAGGAAGCATAAATGTTAACAAAACACAGTCTGCAGCATGACTGACGCAGACTGTTCTGTATTTGTCAAATGCATGAATTTCCTAAAGGATGTGTACTTGTTGTCGCTAAATGGTTTTCTTTACGATTTTACTTATGTGAATGTCTGCTTTGCCCAGTACTGCTTCTTGATTTGGTTGTTCGAAATAAATCTTTCATATGCGAGACAGCGCTCGTTCTGACCTCTCTGTTTTCCGTTCGTCGTCGTCTGTAGCGCTGCGTAAATTATGCAAGAATTCAAGCTAACCCAGTTAACTGTCCATTCTACCACAATGTAAGGACTCCTTGCAAACGCAAGCATTACATACCTTTCACTCTTGATAACTAGGCTTAGAAGAGCTAAACCACACTCGCGTTACAACTGGTATCGCCAAGGGTCAGGAAACAATAAGTGACAAATATAAAAGTTTCAAAAGCGGTAAAATAAACTTTTATTAGTGAACTGCCGGTAACTGGATAAAATTCCTTAGCGCTTGAAAACATAAGAGTACGCGCAAAACTTTCATTTTTATTTCTCGGTCAGTTGATAAAAAGACAGCGCATGTTGGTGCAACAGTCGCCCATAAAGTTGTTTCTGTGGATATGGCACATTTCAATTGCATATCAGTGGAACCACGTCATAAATGGACTTGTTTAAAACATCTTTTGCCTGCCGTCAGATCACAAGAGGTCGCAGAGACGTCCTTGAAGCCCGTCTTGCTCGTCATGTGTTCGGGGAAAAGGATTCGCGCCGTTGTTCTTTCAATACGTTTGACTTTGACAGCCGTTGTAGCTTTCCAAGGTGGCTCGAACTTCGCCGGCCTTTCAGCAGCATTGGACACGTGCTTTCAAATATTGATTCGCTCCATGAAGGCCACGTCCGACGCGCGATGTATGAAAAACCGTGGTTCTGATCTGCACGATATTATATGGTAGCGCAGACAAAGGACACGGACAAGAGAAGGCAAATTCAAGGCAACTAGCGCTAACTTTCAACGTGCTTTCGGTGTGCCTTCTCTTCTCCATGTCCTTTGATTGATTGATTGATATGTGGGGTTTAACGTCCCAAAACCACTATATGATTATGAGAGACGCCGTAGTGGAGGGCTCCGGAAATTTAGACCACCTGGGGTTCTTTAACGTGCACCCAAATTGGAGCACACGGGCCTACAACATTTCCGCCTTCTCCGTGTCCTTTGTCTGCGCTTCCATATATTATCATGCTACCATATATACCAACAAGCCCACATCGCCCCCCTCACTGATCTGCATATTCGCTTGAATTCTTGTCCTGACGCATGAAAAGTCTAGATGTCTAGACTCCTGGCGTTCCGTCTTGTAGGAATACCACGGGAGGCGTGTCGATCGTGCGGGGTGTC